GCTGTACAACACTCCAGAGATTTGGGGCGGCCACACTAAAGGCTCGGCCCCCTTTTGTCCTCAGTCTGGTTTGAGGGACCACCAGCAGCAGCTGACTGGCTGATCTCAATGTTTTTTTTGGAGCATAAAATGCAGAAGGTCAGTTAGATATTGTGGTGTTAGCCCATGTAAGGCTTTAAAAACTATTAGCAACATTTTGAAAGCAATTCTAAATTGCACTGGGAGCCAGTGGAGTGAGGCCAGAATAGGGGAAATGTGGTCACGCTTACGTGTTCCAGTGAGGAGACGGGCAGCTGAATTTTGGATGAGTATGAGCAGTGACTGGTCAATACCAACATACAAGGAATTACAATAATCTAGGCGTGATGTAATGAAAGCATGAGTTACTTGCTCAAGGTCTGTTGGAGATAGATAGCCTTTTATCTTTGCCAAAAGTCTTAACTGGAAAAAAACAAATTGACCTGTGCAAATTTAAAGGCGCTGTCGAGGGTTACACCAAGGTTTCTGACAGTAGGCCTAATGTTGGGACTGAGGGGAGCCGAACGAACGAATCAACGAACCAAACGTCAGCAGTCCTGTTGGAGCTGAGGCACCTTTAGAGGAGATGAGTTTGATCTGAACCAGGTGTTTAGAAGCAGTGAAACTCTAAAACCTAAAGGCCTGCAGCTGCCCCCCCCCCCCATCCCCCACCCGACCTACAGGGACAATCCAACAGAGCATTCTGCTGGTCATCAGTCTGAATGTTTGTGCAAAACAACACGTGAATCCTGCTGGGTCCGCCATCGCTAGGCGTCAGAAGCTCCCGTTTCCATGTGCAGAGGAGGGGCAGATGTGATATGAGGGTTCTCTGAATAAAGATCACAAACATTTACATTTAACTGATTTTGATGAATTGTTTATATATTTAGTAGGCTACAGACCAAAAGTTTGGACACACCTTGTCATTCAAAGAGTTTTCTTTATTTTCATGACTATGAAACTTGTAGATTCACACTGAAGGCATCAAAACTATGAATTAACACATGTGGAATTACATACTTAACAAAAAAGTGTGAAACAACTGAGAATATGTCTTACATTCTAGGTTTTTCAAAGTAGCCACCTTTTGCTTTGGGGATACAGCATCAGGCACGAAACTACCAGGGCATACATCACAGGACAGCCTTTTGAGAAGTTGGCCAAAAACGCTTAGATTTATATTTAAATGTTTAATCTTTATTAATATTGAATCAGATGTTAAATCTGAAAAAATCAGTATTGATCTAAACATGAGCAGGCCTCTCAGGATGTGTGGATGTTTTGGCCTCCTGTGGACAGCCTTTGATTACTTCAGAGTCCCATCAGCCCTTACAACCCTGGTCAAGCCCTACGTCCAGCTCTGAGTGACCACAGCAGAGTACACCACAACATGGCAACATCTGGAGGTGGGCATCATCTCCCCCCCTGGCCATAGACGCACTGTAAACGCCTTATATTAAATAACACAAAGACACAAGGTAAACAGTTTGATATTTGTTCTTTATTTCCTGATTCTCAGTTACATCCCAAACTCAAAGCTTTATTTCCCCACTTCACAATAACGTCAACGAGGCCAATAATAACTGTTCACATGTTGCTATTTTTGGGCGTTGGAGACATTCACGAGAATAAAATATTGTATAAATCACAAACATTTAAACATTAAAAAAACTGACAACGGAAGAAAATAAAAAGCAAACAAATCCATGACATGCCTGAAAATACTGCATCCTTTTAACTGTGCAAATGTTGAAGATTAACTGGTGCAAATGTAAGGACTCACAGCACTGAATGCAGACTAAGATTATAAATGTTTAGAAGGTGAACCCAGTTTCAGGGCAATTTATCCCTTTATTTTCCTTTTAGTCTTAAAAAAAATCCCTTGTACTGCATCTGTGCTTTTAATTAAGCAGGTTAACATAAAACAGCTTAAGTGGGATCAAAGTGTTTTCGATGTGTTTTGATGAGTCAACAGCTCCTATTGTCACTGCTGCACTAATAAAAACAGCTCTGATATTTGTCAAACAGGCTCTGCCACCTGCAACTAAAATGTTTAAAGACAGAAATCCCTCTGAGACTAAAGCCAGTGAGCTGTCACCCCGTATCTAGACATTCAACTGTCCAGCTTCCGATGTGCCTCGTGCAGCTTGTCTTTGCTGTTGGGTTGGAAATCTGTTCTCAACAGAGCTGCCTCACAGTACTCTGACATAAGAGGAGCCTGACTTCAGCATCTGAAGCGTAACAATAATTCTTATGGATTTTCTAAACCAGGGATAGAAGAGGGCGTAGATCAGAGGATTGAGACAAGAGTTAAAGTAAAACAGACCAACCGTAACA